TTTTTTTGCAAGGTGACATTTTCGATTACGAGCAGCCTAATCGTTTACAAAGGGAATGCAAAAGAACGCCATTTGCATTCTGTCATTTGTTTCAAACTCATCAAGGCGGCAATTGGAGAAAAAAATAAAATAAAAGTGAATTGTGCTAATTGTGAATTAAAAGTGAGTGCTCCGAATTTACTACCATCAAAATTTTGACGGCGCCCGGGATTTTGTTTGTATAGAGTGAGTTGGATCAAAATCCTTTCATGCAGATAAGGCATTGTTATAGTTGTGCATTTTTTTTGTTTCTTATTGGCAACAGGTATTTCTTTGGGCACATGGGAGCGTAGGCCTCGGCCTCAACCAGCACTTATTTAAATTGCTACCACGCTGCCATTACCAATTGCTATTGACCAACGACCACAGTTTGCATTTTTGTCCATTGTTACCATTCCAATACCGGGTTTCTTTCACCGGCACCACCACCCCCATCACCGCAGTAAGCATTTAGTGTAAAGAAATTATATCATCATTAGTTATTCGTATTTTTCGGCCACAGGCAGGAAAATACGGATACTATTATTTCTATCTATTAATCGACGGACAGCCGATCTGAAAAACATACATTGTACTTACGTACATTTATGTATATATAGTGCAAATATAACGGCATATTACCGTTATTTTAAGCTGCCCATGTGCTTTCGTTTCTTTTTTTTTTTTGTGTTCCTAAATTTCTGGTACAGCACAGTTACAAACAACGATAGTTGTCGAAGATGATTAATAATTAAAGTTTGTGAAATAGCTTTAATCGTTTAAATTATTTAAAAAAAAAAGAAAAAAAAACTGAATTCATTAAAATTTATGAAAAATCTAGGATAATAATCTAATTTTGAGATTATTTGAAATGAAAAATGAATAATTGAAAACCAAATAATTATAATAATTAATCATTAAAAAAAAGAAAAAATTTATTAAATTAGAATTTTAGTCGATTGTACAATAAAATTTTTTTGATTCTCGATCACATTAATCATTTAGAACTCGATTATCATGAAATTGATAAATTAATGAAATCGATTAATAAAAAAAATATTAATTAATTATTTGAATTATAATCTATCATTAATTTAAAGAAATTAAAATTAACTTAATTAAATTAATTATTTTAAATCAAAAAAAAAAAAATTATCTGAGGGTCTAATAATTAACAAAATTAATTATACTATAATAAGTAAATTGTTAATATTATTATTTAATTTAAATAATTAATGAAATTAAATTTTGATAAAGTTAAAGTCTAATTTTAAACTCAAATAATTAATTAAATTAATTATTTCAAACCCAACTAATTATTAAACTTAATTATTTCACAATGAAATAAATTAATTATTTCAAAATTTAAATAATTATTAAAATTAATTATTTCATAATTAGTAAAATTAATTATTTTAAACTTGCTGGACGAGTAATTATTGGAAGACTTCAAAAGATTGATTATTTGGATCACAATCTAACGTTGAAATAATTAAATTAATTTTTTTTTTTTGAGAATTAAAAAACGATTTCCATCATTGAATATTTAAAAACTAATTAAATAATTCAAATTATCATTCATATTATTATATTATATTTTCTAACTATTAATATATGTAAATGTTGATCCCTATTAAATACTAGTAGCTTTTCAGTCATACCCGGTCTAGAAGGTGACCAAATATCTTACCTCTTGAGCTCAATAGGGTCGAGATTTATTTTACAAATTCTCATATGTTTGCATATTTCTTTTTATTGAATTTATGTTGGGATAAACATAGAAGAATATAGGTATTTTGTTACTATACATATTCCTACCTTTGCTTTAATATAATGTTCACTCATATAATACAAACTTAATGTCATAATGTACTATATATGAATCCCGATACAAATAAAAGGGAATAATGAATTTTTGTAACGGTGAAGTGAAAATGTGTTAGTCATTTATTAATGGTGAAATAAGGTAGGTTCAGCCAAATAAAAATGTTTTAGGGGGTTTCCTGCAAAAGAAGAAACCCGCAGGGGATTTTGAAGAAATCCGTGGGAGGGCTCAAGGTACCCATACACCATCTGGGGTACTCACAACAACAATATCGAACATCTGTATCGCTATCGTGACTCTTTAATGTTATTTTTCTTTAATATACTGTTGTGCATGGTCGAGTGAGGACGATGAGCTGAGACGAGGCAAAACAATAAAAATTGATGACATACCAACAACAGCTGAGTATGATACAAAGCCATAATACACTCTCGCCGAATGCATGTTACAACAAAAATGGCGCCCAACGTTAAGCAAATTTTGATTTTTAGTGTCATCGGTTTGATTTTTGAGTCCTGAGGTATTATTAGATTATAATACTCAGTTGCGTCAGAAACAAATCAATGCATGCAATTGTTATAAGATCTCCATCTTCTTATAAACTATTTTGTTCGTCTTGAACAGTTGTGTATATAACAAGGTTCAATCTTGCGACAAAATATAGTCAAGTTTCTTGTTTTTCTATTTTTAAACAATGCTAGTACATAGTCATTAGTTGCAGATTTTTATGTCAAGCTACTAATTTGCGGTATTAGATATGTTTATTTGGTATATTGATACAAACAGAATTTTATTGGTAAAATTTTTAAGATGATCTTTACAGATGTTTGATGGTTACAAAGTTGTTGTTTCTTTTATTTGGCTGGAACCTAACCTATATTCATATTTCACCTTATCATTACATATATATACTATACTTTTTCTTGAACATATTTTTTATGATTTCTTTTTGCGGAATTTCAGTGAACATTTTGGATGATTTTATATCAGATCTATATCGTTTTGTTTTTGGATATTTTTTTATGGTATTTTATGTTAATTAGTGTTGATGGTTAATAGATTTCTAAAACTTCGAAATTTTACAGATTCTAATTTAGATTACGGCAAAGACAATTATTCTACATTTACTTTCTAAATTACATTTGGCATTCAACTTTATTTTCATGTTTTTTATCTTGATTTATTTTTCTGGTATTTTTTAAGTATATTTCTGGTATTGCAATTTTTTTTTATTTGAATTTTAATTATTATGCCACTTCCACCTAAAACGCAAGGCAGGACAACTAGGTCCAACAGTAGGGCAACCGGAGAGATGGAATTAAGTACGGAGTCATCTACCAGTCATACCGCAGGCATACTTCCAGTTACTCAGCCTGATGTAGATGGTGAGGAAACTGTGATACAGTCAACCCCTGTCACGGGAGACGAAAACTCTATCAGTCAGCCTTCCTATAGTCCATTGACCATCCGCGGCAATAGTGTGAATGAACCGCAAGGTCGATTAAGTAGTCCAGGAATAGTTGAAGTAGTTGAGTCAGCTTTAGGTGCGACCAGGGAGTCGATGATTGAGGTTATGCGCAGCGAAATGCAGCAGGCAGTTGCACAGGCGGTTAAGACAGCGTTATCTCAGACATCTTTATCTCAGGAAAAGTCGAATTCTCCTTCTAGAAACATAGATTGGCCACATGAATTTCCAACTTTCAACAGGAATTCCAATCAGAATCGCCGAGAAGATGATCAAGGTAGATTTAACCACAATTATATGCCATCATATGAGAATCGAGATTATTTCAATAAACCCAAGTATCCGTACATTAGTAAATGGGGAATCCGTTTTGATGCTACTTCTAAAACTCCGCAAGTGGAGGATTTTATTTTTAGAGTGGAGAAACTCCAGAGAAGTTATGGTTGTTCGGATCAAGATCTTTTAGATGGTTTCCATCATTTGTTGGAAGGACGTGCAAATCAGTGGTACTGGGCACAAATCAGATTGCATCCGAATATGAACCTGGCGAATTTAAAACTTTCTATTATACGTGAATTTCAGAAATATCAGTCCAATTTAGACGTGTTGAGGCAGATCATGGATCGTAAGCAAGGTCGGGAGGAATCTGCAAGCCAATATATTGATGCCATAACTAGTTTGAGGTCTCAGTTGAGCAATCCGTTGAAAGATTACGAGGTCATTGATATTATTAAGGCTGGTCTGAAACCCAGATTAGCTCATTTAATATTCAGTGCTGGTGCTTATTCAGTTGAGGGATTACGAAGCGAGTGCAGGAAAGCCGAAGAATTTCTGGATAGGGAATCTTTTCAGCGATCTAGAAGCAACTTTTCTCCTCGTGCAGTAAACGAACTTTTTGATTCCGAAGTTGATGATTTGGTTGAAGAAGTTGATGAATTGAGGTTGCGACATAAGCCAATTGGTGTTTCAAAGAACGATACTGGACATTGTTGGAACTGTGGTAAAAGCGGTCACGGGTTCAAGCAATGCACCAGTTCTCAACGTTCATTATTCTGTTTTCGCTGTGGTGCACCTGGTGTTACTGCTCCTCAGTGTAGTCAATGCAAGCAAGGCAGTCGTTCAAAAATTGAATCCAAATCTGAGTCTGTTTCTACTCAAACAGTAGATTGACTATCTGTAAATGGTAAGTCTACTTCTACCGATCCTTTTGTTGTTGACCCGAATTTTGTTATAACCAAGCCATCTGAACACTCTGCAAAAACAAAACCTGACATAACTCAGCCTTTTCATATTCGAATGGCGAACTATTTGAAAGTTCGTGAGCGTATTTTCAACTCCGAAGTTTCCGTAAAACCCATTTTTATTTCCAAACGTATTTTGAAAGCTCGAGAGCGGTATCGTATCCGTCGTTTAAAACGAATTTCTATTTCATCTGCAAAATTTTCTGAATTGGGATTTAACGATCCTCGTCCATTTCGAGAAGTTCTAGTTAATGGAGAACCTGTTTTGGCATTATTTGATAGTGGAGCAACAGTGACCTGCTTAGGCAAAAATTGTATTTCTTTAATTGAAAAATTGAATCTTAAGATTATTCCTGTTTTCAAGTGTAGTGTAGGTACTGCTAATGGACAGCGTGTTACTTGTGCCGGAAAAATTAGGGTAGACCTTACATTTGATGATATGACGAAGACCATGGAAGTGTATGTTATTCCGGGTCTCGAAAACTCTATGTATTGCGGTGTCGATTTCTGGAAAGCATTTAATATTGCTCCGAAGCTTATAAGCAGTTTAGAGATCAGTCCAAAAGTTGAAGATTCCGATTTACATATTCTTAATGATGATCAGATAGCTCTGCTCGAGAAGAGTAAAGAAAGTTTTCATGATTTTGACAAATATGGTTTGGGGAAAACTCATTTAGAGGAACACGTCATCGATACTGGTGATGCCGTTCCGGTTAAACAACGTCACTATCCCGTTTCTCCAGCAGTGGAATCTTTAATTTATCAGGAACTTGATCGCATGCTTAGTTTGGGAGTCATCGAGCCGAGTACTTCACCGTGGAATTCACCAGTTACTCTTGTGCGTCGTGGGGAGAAGAATAGGTTATGTCTGGATGCACGCAAGTTGAATGAAGTCACCATCAAAGATGCGTATCCATTACCTTTTATTGATGCATTGCTAGGTCGTTTGCAAGATACATATTTCATTTCGAGCATAGATTTGAAAGATGCCTTCTGGCAGGTACCTCTGGCAGCTGACAGCCGTCCGAAAACTGCGTTTACAGTACCGGGGAGACCACATTATCAATTCACTGTCATGCCGTTCGGGTTGTGTAATGCAGCTCAGCGGTTATGTCGGTTGATGGATAAAGTGATCTCACCGGAACTGCGGAACAAGGTTTTCGTATACCTTGACGATCTTTTAGTGGTTTCGCCAGATTTTGAGACTCATGTCGATCTGTTGCGCAAGGTAGGAGAGATGTTGACCAGAGCAAACCTGACCATTAACTTGAAGAAATCTAAATTTTGTCGTCGAGAGTTGCGATATCTAGGATACATTGTCGGTGAGGGGAAGCTCAAGCCAGATCCTTCAAAGATAAACAGCATTACCGATATACCAATTCCTAAGAACACACGCGATGTTCGCAGATTTTTGGGAATGGCCTCTTGGTTCAGGCGTTTCATTCGAAACTATGCCGAAATTACCGCTCCTCTCACAAGCACGTTGAAGAAAGGTAAATCTTTTTGTTTTCATGATCAGGCCATCGATGCTTTTAACAAGTTGAAAGTAGCTTTGACTACTAGTCCTGTACTGAACCATCCTGTTTTTGATAAAAGATTTTATGTCCAATGTGACGCCTCTAATTTGGGTCTTGGTGCAGTCTTGTTCCAACTGGACGCTGAAGGTCTGGAACGTCCCATCGCATTTCATTCCGCTCAGCTATCCAAGGCAGAACGGAATTACAGTGTAACAGAGCGTGAGTGCTTAGCTGTCATCAGTGCTATCAAGAAGTTCCGTCCTTTTATTGAACTTATGCCTTTCACTGTAATTACTGATCACAGCGCTTTGAAATGGTTGATGAGACAGAAGGATCTCAGCGGTCGGTTGGCAAGATGGAGTTTAAAGCTCCAAGCTTTTAATTTTGATATCCAGCACCGTAAAGGATCACAAAATGTAGTCGCGGACACATTATCCCGTTTGCACATGGACGAAATCAACATGTTTATCGATGAAAAACCTTTAATTGATTTAGAATCTCCCGAATTTAAAAGTGAAGAATATTCACAGATAGTCAGCATGGTGCTCGAGAACCAAGACAGTTTACCCGATTTTAAAGTTTGTGATTCGTTTGTTTATAAAAAGACACTTCCGTCTGATGGCACTTCAGTCCACGAAAATTTCATTTGGAAACTCTGGGTTCCAAGTAACCTAACCGAATCACTTATCGAGAACACACACAAATCTTCTAGTCACTGTGGTATAGGTCGAACGATCGCGGCACTTCGACAGTATTTTTATTGGCCTAAAATGGCAAAACAAGTTCGAGATTTCATTAATGGTTGTATCGTTTGCAAGGAGACAAAAGCTCCAAATAAAATTTTACGAGGCAAGATGGGAAACGAAACTGTCACACACAGGCCATGGCAAAAGATTTTTATCGATTTTATTGGACCGTTTCCGAGATCGAGGTTAGGTAACGCGTTTATTCTGATTGTTTTAGATCACTTGACGAAGTTTGTTCTTTTGAAACCACTAGCTAAGGCAAATTCGAAAAATGTTATTAAATTTCTAGAATCCGAAGTATTTCACAAGTTTGGTGTACCACAATTAGTCCATTCGGACAATGGAAAACAATTTGTCTCGTCTGAATTCACTTCATTTTTACAAAAGTATGGTTGTAAGCAGATTCGTAACGCGGTGTACTCTCCACAAGCGAATGCATCCGAGAGAGTCAATCGGACCATTATCGCAGCGATTCGATCTTACGTATCGGAGGATCAAAAGGATTGGGATAGATATTTATCCTCAATCGAATGTTCATTAAGATCCACGCTTCACACTTCGACCGGCTTCACACCATATTTTTCACTTTTTGGCACACACATGATCACACACGCGAGTGAATACGATTTGGCACACAAACTTGGGATTCTAGAGGACGGCACGGTAGATATTGTTCCGAAACACGATATGTTGCACTTAGTCCGAGATACGATTAAAAGTAAATTGCACGATTCTTTCGAAAAATCGGCAACACGTTACAACACTCGATCTCGCGAAGTTAGCTTTAAACCGGGACAGGAAATACTGAGGAGGAATTTTGTTTTGAGTGACGCTTCCCGCCATCTTAATTCAAAATTATGTCAGAAGTTTGTCAAATGCAGAGTTGTTCAGAAGGTAGGGACCTCACTCTACGAGATTGAAGATTTGAACGGTAGGAAGATAGGGGTCTATCATTCGAAAGACCTGCAGCATATGGTACCAAACAAATAGTAGCCCGGTTATCTCAGTCGGTAGAGCATGAGACTCTTAATCTCAGGGTCGCAGTTCTTCCCCACTTTTCGTACATATCACGGTTGACTTCCCAAATCAGTTAGACTTCGGCTGGCCTGCGTCAACATGTTCGGGTTTGTTATGTCAGCCGGTTAACGCAATGCGCAGCGTAAACATCGCCCGCATTGTGGTCGATGCATTGAAAGCCTGACGGCTACCGGTTATCGATTACCCCTTTTTTTTTTGCAAGGTAATATTTTCGATTACGAGCAGCCTAATCGTTTACAAAGGGAATGCAAAAGAACGCCATTTGCATTCTGTCATTTGTTTCAAACTCATCAAGGCGGCAATTGGAAAAAAAATAAATTAAAAGTGAATTGTGCTAATTGTAAATTAAAAGGGAGTGCTCCGAATTTACTACCATCAGAATTTTGACGGCGCCCGGGATTTTTTTTGTATAGAGTGAGTTGGATCAAAATCCTTTCATGCAGATAAGACATTGTTATAGTTGTGCATTTTTTTTTTGTTTCTTATTGGCAACAGGTATTTCTTTGGGCACATGGGAGCGTAGGCTTCGGCCTCAACCAGCACTTATTTAAATGGCTACCACGCTGGCATTGACCAGCAACCACAGTTTGCATTTTTGTCCATCGTTACCATTCCAATACCGGGTTTCTTTCACCAGCACCACCACAACTCATTGAGAGTGACCACCACTCCAACCCATATACAGTGACCACCACCAGAACCCATTGGCAGTAATCCCAACTACAACCCATTGTAATTTATCACCACCACAAACTATCAATAGTGATCACCACCATTGTGTGAAACCATTTGGTACGACAACAACCACAAGCTGTTGCATCAACCATTAAAACCATCTCAATAAAGTCCAGCCTTCCAGTTGCTGAAGTTTTTTTGTAAGACCTGAGTGCGCTTCTCCCATCACCGCAGTAAGCATTTAGTGTAAAGAAAATATATCATAATTAGTTATTCGTATTTTTCTGCCACAGGCAGGAAAATACGGATACTATTATTTCTATCTATTCATCGACGGACAGCCGATCTGAAAAACATACATTGTACATACGTACATTTATGTATATATAGTGCAAATATAACGGCATATTACCGTTATTTTAAGCAGCCCATGTGCGTTCGTTTCTTTTCCTTTTTTGTGTTCCTAAATTTTTGGTACAGTACAGTTACAAACAACGATAGTTGTCGAAGATGATTAATAATTAAAGTTTGTGAAATAGCTTTAATCGTTTAAATTATTTAAAAAAAAGAAAAAAACTGAATTCATTAAAATTTATGAAAAATCTAGGATAATAATCTAATTTTGAGATTATTTGAAATGAAAAATGAATAATTGAAAACCAAATAATTATAATAATTAATCATTAAAAAAAAAATTTATTAGATTAGAATTTTAGTCAATTGTACAATAAAATTTTTTTGATTCTCGATTTTAATCATTTAGAAATTCGATGATCAAGAAATTGATAAATTAATGAAATCGATTAATTAAAAAAATATTCATTAATTATTTGATTTATAATCTATCATTAATTTAAAGAAATTAAAATTAAATTAATTATTTTAAATCTAAAAAAATAATTATCTGAGGGTCTAATAATTAACAAAATTAATTATACTATAATAAGTAAATTGTTAATATTATTATATAATTTAAATAATTAATGAAATTAAATTTTGATAAAGTTAAAGTCTAATTTTAAACTCAAATAATTATTAAAATTAATTATTTCAAACCCAAATAATTATTAAACTTAATTATTTCACAATCAAATAAATTAATTATTTCAAAATTTAAATAATTATTAAAATTAATTATTTCATAATTAATAAAATTAATTATTTTAAACTTGCTGGACGAGTAATTATTGGAAGACTTCAAAAGATTGATTATTTGAATCGCAATCTAACGTTGAAATAATTAAATTAATATTTTTTTTGAGAATTAAAAAAAAAAAACGAATTCCATCATTGAATATTAAAAAAATTAATTAAATAATTCAAATTATCATTCATATTATTATATTATATTTTATTATATATTTATTGTATGTAAATGTTGATCCCTATTAAATACTAGTAGCTTTTCAGTCATACCCGGTCTAGAAGGTGACCGAATATCTTACCTCTTGAGCTCAATAGGGTCGAGATTTATTTTACAAATTCTCATATGTTTGCATATTTCTTTTTATTGAATTTATGTTGGGATAAACATAGAACAATATAGGTATTTTGTTACTATACATATTCCCACCTTTGTTTTAATATAATGTTCACTCAGATAATACAAACTTAATGTCATAATGTACTATATATGAATCCCGATACAAATAAAAGGGAATAATGAATTTTTGTAACGGTGAAGTGAAAATGTGTTAGTCATTTATTTAATGGTGAAATAAGGTAGGTTCAGCCAAATAAAAATGTTTTAGGGGGTTTCCTGCAAAAGAAGAAACCCGCAGGGGATTTTGAAGAAATCCGTGGGAGGGCTTAAGGTACCCATACACCATCTGAGGTACCCACAACAACAATATCAAACATCTGTATCGCTATCGTGACTTTTTAATGTTATTTTTCTTTAATATACTGTTGTGCATGGTCGAGTGAGGACGATGAGCTGAGCCGAGGCAAAACAATAAAAATTGATGACATACCAACAACAGCTGAGTATGACACAAAGCCATAATACACTCTCGCCGATTTCATGTTACAACAATTAGAACCCTTGAAAAAATTTCATGTCGCACAGTGTTATTTAGAGTAACAACGCAAAGTAATTTATTATAATAGTTATTAATTAATGTAATAATTATTAAATAATCTAATAATTATTAGAAGCATAATTTTTAATAAATTATTCCTTGTGTATATTGTCTATGAACCATAGTATTCCTTTCGGCCCAAAATTTTATTTTTTCAAAATTATACATATTTTATAATTTCACTTATAAATTGATGTAAGTGTTAATCCCAATAGATTTTCATTAAACTAAAGTCATATTTTTACCTAATTACCATTTGAGCTCAATAGGTAGGGTCCTGACTTTTGACTTCGTTTTTTATTTATCCAAATTGGATATATAATCTTATACTGGGATAAACATATATATATATATATATATATATCTAAGTATACCATTTACAATTCAACTTAGATCATACGATGATGTATTCTTATTTAGTAATTCTATATTTAAGGTCTTTGAAGCAATGTACTGATTCTTGATATACATTTAAGGTAATAAAAAGGGTATAATGAATTTTATAACGATAAAAATTTAAATTAATATGTTGTAGTGATTTATTTTAATGTGGAATAAGGTAGGTCCAGCCAAATAAAATGTTTTTATGGGGTTTCCTGCAAAATGAGAAACCCGCAGGGGATTTTGAAGAAATCCGTGGGAGGGCTCAAGGTACCCATGCACCAGCTGGGGTACCCACAACAACTCTGTATCGCTATCGAGACTCTTTAATGTTATTTTTCTTTGATATACTGTTGTGCATGGTCGAGTGAGGACGATGAGCTAAGCCGAGGCAAAACAATAATAATTGATGACATACCAACAACAGCTGAGCATGACACAAAGCAATAATACACTCTCTCCGATTCATGTTACATATTGTCTCTGTCTATTGTTTTATTTATAAAAAATGAGGACGTGCTTAATTTTCGTTTTATATGTTTTATTTTTTAATATTATTTTTTGTTTTATTTTTGTTTTTCTGTTTATTTCGAATAAATTATAATAATAACAACAATGACCGTTAGGGTAATTTATACAACAACAAAATGAAAAAAA